AGTCCGGGTACCATCATGTCGAGATTCATCCATCTTGCTGGAGGTTCTTAGGATTTCAATTCGAAAATGAGTACTACTACTTTCGGTCTCTACCATTCGGCCTTGCAACCGCCCCGTTTGTCTTCACTCAACTCATCAAACAGCTCGCAAAGCGATGGCGTGCGCAAAGCGTGCGGGTCGTTCCGTATGTCGATGACTCCTATGCGACTCAGCTCAGCATGCACGGTCCACATGTACCAAGGTTTTACAGGACCTCAAGGTAGCAGGCTTCGTCATAAATGCGAAGAAGTCACATCTCCACCCATCCCAACAATTACGCTTCCTCGGTCTAGAGTTGGACACAGCCCGGGGCATGTTTTCGATCGGCTCAGAACGATGGGAGCAACTCATGAGCACCCTCCAGGCCCTCATCGTAAAAGGACAAGCGGGACACCACATTCCGGTCCGGCAGATCGCCCGCGTTACCGGTATGTTAGCATCGATGGCACTGGCACTAGGTGCAACAACACGCGCCTTCAGCCATGAGCTACTACAAATCATCGCCCACGCCACATCTTGGAGCTCCTGGACGTTGCTGTCGCCGGCAGCAGTTGAAGAGTTATTGTTTTGGCGCACACAATTCGATCGATTCAATGGGGCGGCATTCCACTCAAGTCATCAGTTTGATGCCGTCATCCACGTCGACGCCAGCACACACAGTTGGGGTGCCACCCTCACCACCTTTCCAGGATCTGCAACCGAAGCCAGCGCCCGGATGCCTGATGGGCTTCTTCCAACCTCCAGTACCAGAAGGGAGCTCGAAGGCGTCATATGGGCGCTACGCACATTCGCATCTCGGATCATTCGAAGGCATGTCCTCGTACGGGTCGACAACCAGGGTGTCGCATTCATCCTACGCAAAGGGGGCTCTCGCCAACCCACCCTCACGCTCCTATGCCAGGAAATCATCTGTCTTTGTTTGGAGAATCTCATATGCCTCGATATTGAATGGATCCCACGCGAGTTGAATGCTCACGCCGATGAACTCTCCAAGATACAGGACCATGACGACTACACACTCAAAGCCCCCTGGTTTCGCTTTCTCGAGCGGAGGTGGGGCCCCCACTCTATTGATCTCTTCGCGAACACATATAACGCGCAACTACCGCGATACTGTTCCAAGATTCCACACCCGGGTGCAACCGCCGCGGATGCGTTCTCAGTCTGTTGGCACGGCGAGCACGGCTTCGCCTTTCCACCACCCAACCTAGTCCTGGCGATCCTTCGCCACGCACGACGGACCAAAGCCAAGTTGACTTTGGTTGTCCCCCATTGGTCTGGTGCATCCTGGTGGCCACTCCTCCAACCTTCACCCAACGTTTGGGCGTCGGGAGCTATAGCTTATCTCCCTCTTACCCACGGAAGCCAATGTTTGCATCCTGGCACGCATGCAACAGCATTTTCGAGTTTAGGATTCCCTAACAGCCCCATAATTGCTTTGAGCCTTGACTATAATAGATAATTCCTAATTTCTGTGCATTTAATCTCAGGAATATTGCCCAAGTTGCAAAAACAACTATTGCAAGTCGTCACCCAAGTCCGCGCCCCATCCACAGTCCAAAAGTATGAGCCTTACTGGTTGAAATTTCGATCCTTTTGTATCACGACCAAGCTGAGCTTCTTACCCGCAACCAACCTAACCCTCGCGATGTACCTCATCCATGCGCTCAACAATAACGCTACCGTGTCAGCCGTTTCCCTCACCTGCTCCGCTGTAGCCTTCGCACACCGCATGACAGGGGAACCCTCCCCGACGAGCGGCCCCTTCACGCTGCAAGTTCGAGAGTACGCCAAACGTCATGGACCGCGCCCTACTAGACACAAAGAGCCCCTCTCGCTGCTCCAAGTTCACAGCATGGCCCGGCCCTTCCTCGAATCCACAATTCCGGCGGAATACCAGAAGGGTCTGATCCCTCTTCTCATGTTTGCGGCATTCTTGCGCTACTCTGATCTAGTCGCGCTTCAATGGAATGACATACAGTTCGAGGAGGAGGTAATGTGGCTTCTAATCCCACACTCCAAGATGGACCAGGAAGGCAAAGGCTCATGGATTCCAGTGGCCGCGACACAGGGGCCCTGCTGTCCGATTCAATGCACCCGCCACTTCATTCAGCTTGCCGGCCTTACTCGCATGCCGCACGAGCCGCTCATCCGCGTATCCACAACTCCCCATCGTACCCCACCGTTCACAACTAGTGCCTTGAAGCTTTCGAGAAGGCCGGTCTCGATGCCTCCCACCTCGGCACTCACTCTTTCCGCAAGGGCGCAGCCACGGCCGCAGCTGGCCTGGGGGTCCCTGACCGTCTCTTCAAACGTCTTGGCCGCTGGAAAAGCGATAGCGCAAAGGAGCTTTAGGTCACCATTGCTCAGGACCAGCTCGTTGCGGTCTCCAACCAACTACAAGACACCTCCACGGCCCCTTCAGCTGCTCGACATCAGCAATCGATCGAGCGACACCGGCGACCCCTGATGCACATGCCTCAGAATGCCCATCTGAAATGAAGCACGCTGCCTTTGCAAGATAGACCAAGCAACTTTCACAATATGATCATTTTTGAAAGTGTTACACGCTTTCTAAAATTGTGTATTGTGAAAGTGGAAACTGTCAACTTATACATGTTAGCTGTGTACAAGTTATAGGCTAGACTGGGGTATATTTTTAGTGAGTACAACCAGCTAGTATTTGTTCTAGGTTTCCACTTCTAGTTCATTATTCAGTTCTTACTTTAACATGGTATCACGCGTCGCGCCCCTCCTGGGCCCCGTCGCGCCTCCTAGCCCCGTCGTGCCCCTCCTGGGCCCCGTCGCGCCTCCTAGCCTCGTCGCGCCCCTCCTGGGCCCCGTCGCGCCCCCCTAGCCTCGTCGCGCCCCTCCTCGGGCCCGTCGCGCCCCCTAGCCCCGTCGCGCCCCTCCTGGGCCCCGTCGCGCCTCCTCGCCCCGTCACGCCCCTCCTGGGCCTCGTCGCGCCCGCTAGGCCCCGTCGCGCCCTGCCTGGCCCCGCCGCGCCCTCTTGGCCCTGTCGCGCCTGCCTGGCCCCGTCGCGCCTGCCTGGCCCCGCCGCGCCCTGCCTGGCCCCGCCGCACCCGCTTGGCCCCGTCGCGCCCGCCTGGCCCCGTCGCGCCTGCCTGGCCCCGCCGCGCCTTCCTGGCCCCGCCGCGCCTGCCTGGCCCCTGCCACGCCTGACAGGCCCCGCCGCGCCTGCTAGGCCACGCCGCGCCTCTCTGGCCCCGCCGCGCCTCCCTGGCCCTGCCGCGCCTGCCTGGCCCCGTCGCGCCCGCATGGCCCTGCCGCGCCTCCCTGACACCTGCCGCGCCTGCCTGGCCCCGCCGTGCCTGCCTGGCCCTGCCGCACCTCCCTGGCCCCGCCGCGCCTCCCTGGCCCCGCCGAGCCTGCCTGGCCCCGCCGCGCCTGCTTGGCCCTGCCGCGCCTGCCTGGCCCTGCCGCGTCTCTCTGGCCTCTCCCACTACTCGCCTGGCCCCTCTTCGTGCCTGCTCGGCCTGTCGTGCCACCTCTGGCTCCGTCTCCTCTGCTCGCCAGCGCCGGGGCGTCTCGCGGCTGCCATGCTGGAGAGTGCCACCGCCGTGTCCCTGCGTCGCTGTGTTCCTGAGGAGCTGTGGAGCTGTACTGCTGACCCTGCACGATGGCCGACTTCGTGCTCCGCCTGGACGCTGAGGGTCATGCGGTTGACTTCGCCGCCTGGCTCTCTGATCTCCGCCGCCACCTTACAAGGTCAGCGCCAGGATGGCCACTCTTTGGTTGTCCATGTCGATGGCTTGCTCCCCCGCCCCCCGCACCTGCTCCCTCCCTGCTGACCCTCCTCTGATGACCGTGAGACCTTCTCTACTGCTGCGCTTGCCCGTGCGGTCTGGGACTCTCGCGATGCAGTTGCTCAGGTTGCTATTAGCCACACCCTCCCTGTGTCTGAGCGCTCGCGCTTTGCTACTATTGAGACGGCCAAAGCTTACTTAGACGCAGTTATTGCTCGCTATTCTACACCCGCATCTGCTTCTGCTGGCCGCCTGCTCTTCCCTATGCTTTTCCCAGACCTTGCAGCCTTCCCTACCGTCGCAGACTTTGCCACTCACCTGCGTGCCCTAGAGACCCGCTATCGCACTACCAGTACTGCTGCCCAGCTCACTGCGCTCCCCCCCCCTTTCTACATGACGCTCTATTTTATCGTCATGCGCCTGCCAGACCGCCTCGCTAGTGCTCGCGATCACTTCCTTAGCCAGCACCCGGGTGATCTCACCCTCACCGCCTTTGTCGATACGCTCACCGAGATCGAGACTCGCAAACGCACTATCGCTCAGTCGAGCGGTGTGACGGCAGTCTCTATCTTTCACGGCTGTGCCCCCTCCCAGTGCACGTTCACTGACGTTTCGGCTGCAGTCGCCACGGCGACCCCTCTCATCGAGACGGCTGCTGCGGTCCACCCGCAGCAGCGCTCGCGCCGTGGTTGTCACAGGATCGAATGTGTCGAGGAAAGGTTGCACTATCGATCGGTACAAGGCGCTTTTATACTTCCAGAATACATCAGGTAACTAGGTTTATCTTATCCTAAGGGAATAGACCCTTCTAGAAGATAGAATCACCCTGCGTATAGCCACGCGAGGCTATTGGCTTTAAGGGATTACAGCAGGATTACGCTAGATAGCGTGTCTAGAACATTCATGCCTGGTCGGTGATATAATAATAATAAAGGAAGAAACAAAGGA